GGCCTAGCAGCTGCACCTGGCTAAGGCTGGCCCCTGGCCATGGGGCGGGGGGTATGCGAGGCAGGAGGAGGCTTTGCCTTCCCAAACCGCCAGCCTGGCCCCGCCCAGACTCCACCCCCAGAGCATCTACTGTAGCCGTACCGGGGGCAGAGTGTTACTGCCCCAAAGCGCCTGCCCTCCCCATGCTCCTGGCCCGGGGAGGCTGCGACCACCCGCCACCCACCCGCCCTAAAGTACTGGGTGGGGGGCTCACATGGGTCTGGGTCCTGAGCGAAAGGGCGGGGCTGGGGGCTTGCCTCCCCCACCTCTAACTTCACCCACCGCTCATGCCCACGGCTGTAGCCAGAGAGGCCAGGAGCAGACACAGAAAGTGGATTTCACCGCAAGGCACCGTGGTCAGTGCTATGAAAGGGCCGTCCAGGGGGGCAGGAAAGAGGAAGCCAGTCAGGCTAACGGGGGAGAAGAGCCCAGCTGGCTGGGGACGATGGCCGAGGCAGAAGGGACACAAACATGGGGAGGGGGAGTGGTGCCCACGCACCAGACTAGCGGGCAGCTGGGAACGGAAGGAGAAAGGCAGGAGACTCGCAGGGGCTCAGTGCTCACCCGGGGGAATCGGGGTTTGCAAGGGGCTGGCCCAGACGGCAGGATGGGGCTGGGCGAGGGATCTGTCAGAACGGACCAGTGTTACCTGTCAGCCCTGTGCTCTTGGGGAGCCGGAGAGTGACACTCATGGAAAACCATCCCCTTCCCCCAGGCCTCTGCTTGAATCAGAGGCAAAGCCATGAAAAGGCCGGGGGAGACCCAGCTAACCCCTCCAGACAAGGGGAGTAGAATTAAGGAGACGCCCCGGCCTCATGTGCATTGACGCTAGAACAGAGAGACATCCCCATTAGATACAGCATGGGGACCAGCTCTTCCAAAGCAGGAACCGCACTGAACTATGGGATACCGAAAGCAGAGACGCACGGCCTGATGGGAAATCTCGGCTCCAGATGCTAATGAACCCAGGCCTGCTCACACCCCAATTAGTCATTATCAGACCAATTCTAGTAACGATCCTATTGACATCCAAATCCTGAAACTGCTTCTTTGCATTGTGAATTCCTTCAAGGAACATCCCCCCTAGCCAGGGGTGCTCAGTCTATTGTCTCACCTCCGTTAACCCTTAAACAAATCCAGTGTCTCTTCGAACCATTGTCCTGTCCCTGTACAAACTCCAACCCTTGCCCCAAGAACAACTGTTCTGATACCTGGATTTAAACTGTATCAGTTCCATTGAGGCTTCTTCATCTCCTGTCTGATCGTGCTGGGGGCTCTGCTCTGCTGGTCTCCTGCCCTCTGGCCCCCGGCTCCCCTCACCATCTGGGAACCCCGCTCAGTGCAAGTGGTGAGGTCTCTCTCTCTACATTTAGATCTATCTCTTCCCGCCCCCTCCCCGCAGCTACCTCTCTCTAGGCATAGCTTCCCGACCCTGCCCTAGGTAAACTGTTCATAGAATCATAGAATCA